ATAATCTATAAAAACTATAAGAGACTGTCTATATCCATGACTTTTTAAAAATAAGATATAAATAAAAAATATACATTAAAAGACTAAGAAATTTGGTTAATCTCAACTTCACCTGTCATCAGTGAAATGCAAAATAAAATTAAAATCTATATTATTGCCCAAACTTAACATTTTAATAATTTCAAGTGTAAGGACAAGTAAAATCTGTCATCCACTGAAGGTTGGAGTACAAATTAGTGCATATGCTTTGGAGGGTATTTTGGTAGCATCTATTAACTTTGAAAATGCACATACACTATGACCAAAGGCTCTCACATATTCACATGTGAGAAACTTTCTTACATGTTTCCCAGAAGGTACAATGAAGTATATTTATTGCCATAATATTTGTAACTAAGGCAGTAAAAAGAGACTAGTATTTGGGGAGCATGGGAGCTCTGGTGGCATAGTGCCTAAGGCACTTGACTGCTAACCAGAAGGCTGATAGTTCAAACCCACCAGCCACTCCTCAGAAGGAAGACTGGGCAATTTACTGCCATAGAGATACCACCTGAGAAACCCAAGGAGAGGTCTCTATGCATTGGATCTGACTCAAGGGCAGTGAGTCTGATTTTTTTTTTTTTTCTTTTTTAATCGGGAGTGTAACGAACAAGTAGGAAAATGGAGTTTCCTAAGGGCCACCATGTTGTCATGTAGATTGTTGATTGAACATCTCCAGGGAACACTATTCATATAGACTGCTATGTGAACAGCACCCCCTGGAGTTGTGCAGTATGCAGCCTTCATGGTTGAGAATGGAGGTCCTGTGGATGAAATTATGTTGGGGGTTTAATAGGTAGCCAGATCATGCAAATCATCAGAGACCATGGTAAAGAATCTGGATTTTATTCTAAGTAAAATTCCTGAAGGGTTTTTAACAACAATTAATTTAAGTTGTTTTTATTTATGTTGGTGTTTTTGAGAATATACACAGTAAAGCATACACAAATTAACAGTTTCTACATGCACAATTCAATGACACAGCTTACACTCTTAAGTTGTGCAACCATTCTCACCTTCCCTCCTTCTCTAAGTTGTTCCTCCCCCTTAACACAAACTCACTGCCCCTTCAGGTTCCCATCTAACCTTTCAAGTTGCTATCGTCACTTTGATCCCAGATAGATAGTTCTTAAAAGAGCATAATGCTCAAGGCGGACCTTTTTTACTAGTTAAACTGAAATAATTTTCAGTTTTAAGAAGGCTACATGGGATATTTTTGGTTTAAACTTTAAAGATTATCTCAGGGCAATAGTTTCAAGGGTTTATCAACCTTTCATGGCTCCAGAAAGTCTACAGCCCATGAGAATTTCAAATTCTGTTCTGCATATCCCTCTTTGGATCGGCACTCTTCTATGGCATTTTTGATCAAAATATTCAGTAAGTGTAACCAGGCACCATCCAATTCCAGTCTCACAGCAAATGAGGCAATTGTTCACGGAGGCAATTAGCCACACATTCCATATCCTCCTCCTATTCCTAACTCTCCTTTCTCTGTTCTTCCAGATGAATAGAAAGCAACTGTTGTGACTTGAATGGCTGCTTGCAAGCTTTTAAGACGAGGCGGTAGAATAGAAGCACTAAATATGTTATTAGACCAAATAACTGGCTTGTCCCATGAAACCATGACCCTAAACCTCCAAACCAAGGAAAGAAGTAAATTTCATGAGATGTTTGGTTATATGTAAACAGCCTCAGCAGCTACTCTTTGTTTTTTGGTTGCTTTTTGTTGTTGTTGTTGTTGTTGTTATTGTTATCTGTAACACTTTTGCCAATTCAACATTAATTTATGTTTTAAAAATATTTCTCTGGCAGCTATATGAAAATAACTGGAGGGAGTTATGAGAAGAAGTAAAAGACCAATCAGGAATGTATTACGAGATCTAATCAAGAGATGATGGTGGCCTCAGCTTGGATAATGGCCTTAGAAATGGAAAGATATGGATAAATATGAAATATATCTTGCAGATGAAATCTACAAGTCTTACTGATGCATTAGACATGGATGCAGTAGAAGGGAGAGGATATGTTTGATATGTTTGAGAGGATACAGTCAAGAATGTCTCCCAGGTCTCTCTACAAAGACCTGGGTGGAGGGTGGGGTCATTTACTAATAAGAGGAAAAGGAATACCCTTGCGGAGCACAATTTCAAACATGTTCAGTTTGCTATAACTGAGGAATCCAAAAAGAGGTATCAGTGAGAGATGGTATCGTGGATTGAATTGTGGCCCTCCTCCCAAAATATGAGTTGACCTGGCTGGGCCAAGATTTTCCATGGTTTAGCAGTTACATAATGATGTAATCTTCCCCCTTGATATGATCAGTCAATCAATTATAAGGGGATTAGGGTGGAATGTAACACCTTTACTCAGGTCATATCCCTGATCCCATGTAAGGGGAACTTCCTGGGCTGTGGCTGTTCTCACCATTTATCTTACAAGAGATAAAAGGAAAGAAAAGTAAGCAGCAGAAAGAGAGGGAACTCAGTACCATCAAAAAAAAAAAAAAAAAAAAGAGCCAGGAGATTAGCATGCGCTTTGGACCTGGGTTCCCTGTACTGAGAAACTTAGACCCAGGGAAAGACTCATGCTAAGACACATAGAGATCTCCAAGGAATGCCAGGCACAGATGTTGAAAGGAGACAAGGACCTTCCCCCAGAGCCAAAGAGAGAAAGGCTTTCCCTAGAGCTGGTGCCCAGAATTCAGAGATTTATCCTCCAGAGGACACATTTCTGTTTGTTAAAATCATTCACTTGTGGTATTTTTATTATAGCAGCACTAGATAACTAAAGGGAGCTTTGGCGGCATAGTGTCTAAGGCATCTGACTGCTAACCAGAAGGCTGGTGGTTCAAACCCACCAGCCACTCCTCAGAAGGAAGGTTGGGCAATCTACTTTTGTAGAGATACTGCCTCAGAAACCCAAAGAGGGGTCACTATTTTTTTTTATTTTTAGGTAACGAAAATAGATGACTATATGAGAGTAGAGCTCAGAGAAGAGGTTTAGAGCAAGATATAAACTGATGATATTTTATAATTTTTGAGGAACTACATGGGAGACCACCAATAGAAAGGAAAGACAAGAGGAGAGGGATAGGAAGCCCTGAGTAAATATTAAAATCTAGAAGACTATTAGAGGTACATGTAGAGAAGAGATAAAATAGACAACAAGGATAAATGCCATATATAAATGTCGATCCATGAGGGAACTGCTAAAGAAATTATGGTATCTCCATTCTATAAAATACTATGCAAATATTTAGAAGCAATAGGCAAAATATATTACCATCAAAGTTTCTTGATGATATATTGTTGACTGAAAAAGCAAGTTTATTATGTTTAGTATGAATGTTTAACCCATGGCTGTCGAGTAAATTCCAACTCATAGTGACCCTACAGAATAGAGTAGAACTGCCTCATGGTTTCCCAGGCTGTAATCTTCATGGAAGCAGACTGTCACATCATTCTCCCTTGGAGTAACTGGTGGGTTCCATATGCTGACCTTTCAGTGCTTAACCAAGGCTACCTGTATATGTGTTTACTTGGGTAGAAATAAATCAGGCACTATATGTACACACACCTTAATCTTATGTGCATCAAAAAAAATAAAACCTGGTTTTATGTACAATTACTTGTTAACATTGGTTCCTAGGATTTGAGAAAGAAGAAAGAGCAATGAAATGTCACCTTTTTACTTTATTGTTTGAATATCTTATAATGTACACATAACTTCAGTAATACTTATAAAAACAATTTCAAAAATTCATTCATTTCTTTAACAATCCTTTTTCTTGAAATAAACTTTAATTCAGTGTTTACGAAAATTTGGTCTAAGGATACCTACATTAGAAATATCTATGGTTTAATTTAAAAATATGCTTCCTGGACCCCATCCCAGTTTTAATAAGTCATTCCTCTGGAAATGAGGTATAGGACTTTGTATGTTTGGCAACCACACCAGACGATTCTAACTTCTGCCACGGTGAAAAACAGTTAAATAACTGTGAAAATAAGTCAAAATGAATGAACATAGTTATTTAAAAATCACCAAGGTCCAATACCTCTTGAATAAATACTTAGCACATGCCTAACAGTCTGAAAGTAAGATAACAGTTTGCATAGGCCTGGTCCAAAGAGAGAAAAGTCTAAAACTAGATTAATGGCTGAAGCCATGTGGTCAATCAGCACATATAAGAGATAATATGGGTTCCATAAAGGGATGAAAGCTGCCGAATATGTAGTCCCTTCTTTCCATCATAATTTCCCATCTGGTCAGCCATACCCAACAAGTAAAGTATGAGTGATTATAAATCAACATAATGATTTGGTTATAATGCTTATCAAAATTAATTGTCTTATGTTTAACACTGATGGGGGAAAATCCAAGATTTATCACTTTCTGTATAGACATGGATCTAAATTATTGTCAGGTAAATTTACATTTATTTCCAGTTATGTTATCACTTTAAATGTTTCTTGACTTAATTGCACTATATATTTGCATCAGAAATACAGCAACTGAAAAATAATTCATACAGTAATGCCTTCTACCCTCCACCATCTGCACCATCTCTGAAGGCCTTATTCATGTCAGACATTTATATGGATCTTATGCTTTGCTATAATGTAACCTATGGCAAAGGATTGGTACCATAAGGTATCAGCCAAAAGATGTAATTATCACACACACACAAAAAGAAGGCTTTTCAATAATTGACCCTCTAACAAAAAGGCTACAGTTAGTGGGATTTATGACAGACTCATGTACAAAGTTACCAAGACACAATGTATTCACCTAGAAGTAAATCATGGAAGATAAAAGTAACAAAAGGTAAGATCTTAAATGAAAGTTATGTGGGCAGTTTTTTGTATTTATGAGCAATACTGTTTTTTGAAGTTCAGCAGACAATTCAGAGTTCCTGAAATTCAACAGACAATTTTGTTTCTTTGTTTTGGGCTCTTTAGCTTTATCCATAAGTGATCCATCTTTCAGAAGCACCGGTTTATCCTGGATGTCTTTTGCTTCCTTTCCTATTCGAAAGAAGACACATATTAAACTGCAGTTCCAGCCTATTTCTGCAAATGGCATCCTATTTTATGTGGCACAACATTTAAAAGAACAATCAGGTAAGGTTGGAAGGAACTTTGCTTTCAGGGGAAAAATGAAAAAGAAAAAGAATCCCATGAATCCCTAATAATTTATTAAGGAATGTATAGTAGTGTTTTGTTAAAGTCACCTAGCCTATAAAATAAGTAAGCATTTGGCACTTTTATATTCTGGTGTCACTGCTAGTGTATGTCTATGAATTTAGACTCTTTAAATATGAATCCTAATAAAATAACAAATTGTCAGAATTCAAGTTATAAAATCTATATATAGTATATACTCAATTTTATTTAAAAAACAAACAACAAAAAAAAAAAAAAAAGAAAGAAAAACAGTAGCTGTCAAATCCGTTCTGACTCATGCCAGTCGTATGTGTGTCAGAGTAGAACTGAGCACCGTAGGATGTTCATGGCTGTGAGCTTGCAGAAGCAGATCACCAGGCACCTCTGAATTGCTTTGAAGCAGTAAATACTTAACCATCTGCACCATCCAGGAACTACCAACTTTATAATAACCTCATTTTAAAAGGACAAAATGTGCATTTAAAAGATATACAAAAGGAAACCATGGCTGAGATATTTTATATAGATCATCTACTTTTTTTATTTATTTTTATTTTAAGAGTTTGTTTTACATTCAACATTATGTATCCATTTAGTTTCACTCCCCATTTACTATCCCCAATCCTAACCCAGTCTCCTCCCTGCTCTGCCCAGTAAACACCTCCCACACCTACCCATACCCCTCCACCTCCTCTACTCCCATACCGCTCATAGAACTGCAGCCTGTGTCTCCTACATTTCCTCCATGCAAATGTTGCCCCTCTGGTGCCCTGTGGTCGATTGCACCAAAGGGTGCATTTCCATAGAGTATGTAACCACATACTCTGGGTTAGGGCTGGGGAGGGTAAATGGGGAGTGAAACTAAATGTATGCGTAATGTTGAATATAAAACAAACTTTAAAAAAAAAAAAAAAAAAGTATATAGATCATCCACTTTTAAAACTCAAGAAAATTTTCTTTAAGTTGTTCTGTCATACAAACAGTAAACCTTGGATCCATGTTCCAAAATAAGTAAAAAATGTTTTTTAAATTGTAAACGGTGCACATATATCATAAAACAATATGAAATAAAAATATCTAAATAGTACACCCAGTTTTAAAAACTTATTTTTGAGCTTCTATTACATTATTGAATTTTCACTTGCATAATATCTTTTTCCAGAATTATCACAAAAGTATTTCTACATATTGTTACATCTCTATTGTAGAATATATATACATAAAGTTTTTTTTTTTTTTTTTTCATTTGGCATTTCTTTCATTTGTTTCTCAGAAAATGAATGTTTGGTACTGAGAAATAACCAAATCAGTTTATGTGGTTTCTCATAATGAATAAAATGGTGCTATGATTTTCATAATCTATGTGGCATAGTGCCTAAGGCATTTGACTGCTAACCAGGAAGCCTGGCAGTTCAAACCCACAAGCCACTCCTCGGAAGGAAGATTCAGCAATCTACTTCCCTAGAGATACCGCCTGGGAAACCCAAGGAGGGGTGGCTATGAGTTGAGATCAACTCCACAGCTGTGAGTTTGGTTTGGTTTGGAAGTTCTTACAAAGGTGTCTTAAAACTCTGCTAAAGAAGAATGCCAGGGAATTGGACAAAAATGGTTTCATCTCAATATACTGCCAAAATACCTTCAAAAAATAATTTCAAAGAGAAAAGATAATGTGATTGAACTACAAAATATATCTTAGAAGAGCTTTAAATCTGAGATTTGATATTTGGTTTCAAATTCAGGATTAACTGAAATATCCCTAAGAAATGACAAATAGAAGAACCATAAACAAAGAGAAAAAAAAATTTAATCAAAAGAAAAAAATCAAGAGGCATTAAAAAACAAACAACCTCAAAAATATTGCTCACCAAAAAGCCAAGGTTCCTGGAGTTCCAGTAAGATGACGGAATAGGCAGGCAGACTGCACAGACCCTTTTCAACAAAGAAACTCAGCCAAAAACTCATTGCCCTCAAATCAGAACCAACTCATAGTGACCCTTCCTTGGGTTTCCAAGGCAGTATCATTAGAGAAGTAGATTGCCCAACCTTCCTTCTGAGGAGTGGCTGGTGGGTTTGAACCCCAGCCTTCTGGTTAGCAGTCAAATGCCTTAGGCCCTATGCCACCAGAGGTCAATAATTTGAATAATATAAAACAGTACAAATTTTGCAATATAATGATAACTTTCAGTTGATCTTAGATCTATGATTTGGAAACAGATGTTAGGACTCTAATTGCTATTCATCTCAATTTAATATCACTCCTTAACGTCTTAAAAAGCCCTGATGACACATTAGTTAAGCATTCAGCTGCTAACCAAAATGTTGGCCATTCAGACTCACCATCCATTCTGTAGGGGAAAGATGTGGCAGTCAAATTCCACAAACATTTGTAGCCTTGGAAACCCTATGGGGCAGTTCTACCCTGTCTGGTAGGGCCACTATGAGTTGGAATCCACTCAACCGCAATGGGTTTTATTTTTTTATTTAACATCTTAAAATGAGGTGTTTTCATCCTACTTTGGCCAGTAGCGATTGGGATCTTAAAAGCTTGCAAGCAGCTATCTGAATGCAACATGGGTCTCTCCTTGTCCAGAGCAAAGAAAAATTAAGAAAACCAGAGTCATATGGAAACAATTAGTCCAAAGGACTGGTAGACCATGTGATCCTCAGCCTATATGACCATGAGACCAGAAAAATTATATGGTGCCTGGCTACCACTGCCCACCATTCGGAGCGGGATCATTGCAGGAGATCCTGGATAGAGTGGGAGAACAATGTGGAACAAAACTCAAAATCATATTAAAAAAAAAAAAAAAAAAAAGACCAGGTTTGCTGGTCTGATTGAGCCTGGTGAGACCCCTGAGACCATGGTTCCCCAGTTACCCTTCAGGTCTGGAATGGAACTCACTCCTTCGGCTTCCAGCCGAACATAGACAGGCATATGGGGTGAACACTTACATCAGGTTGATACACTCATTGGAGTGATCCATCTATCCATCGTGGAAGAACAGAAGGGCAGTGTTTGCATAGGGAGATAGCTTAGGGGGCAGGAGAATATGGAGGGATGGACACTGGGAAGAGGTAACTCTCAGGGAGGAAGTGGAACAGAGCTGTTACATTGTGGGGATTGCAGTCAATGTCATGAGACAAAATGTATATGAACTGCTGTATGGAAAATGAATTTGCTCTGTAAACTTTTACCCAAATCACAAAAAAAAAAAATTTAAAATGAGGTGTTTTGTTTTGTGTTTTTCCTATGTGAAAAGATTATTAATACTGTGTTAAGTGCAAATTAGTCACAGTATCCTGAGTTCATCTTGATATCATTATAATCCTCTCATGTTGTTGTTGTTGTTGTTGTTATGTGCTGTTGAGTCAGCCCCGACTCAGAGCGACCCCTCCTTGGGTTTCCTGAGCAGTATCACTATGGGAGTAGGTTGCCCAACCTTCCTTCCAAGGAGCTAGTCATCCCCACCATGAAATTAAGCATATTCAAACAATTAAATTGTAAGAGATAAATAAAATAAAATCAGCTTTGTTTTCTTTTTCTAGGGAAAATATCCCAAATAAGATGTTTCTGTAGCTTCTTTGAAACATTGGGTGCTATAAGTTTTCTCTGAGCCATAATAATCATGAGAGGGTGGCAGGTGATGAGGTGGGCAATGGTAGTACCCCAGAAGGGAGGGAAGAAGGGGTCCCAGTCATGGTTAAATAGGCATTAAATAGCCCAGGCAAATTCGTGTTATCTTCATCCAGTTACTGCGCTCTACATCTTCTAAGAGCTGTCCACTAGTGTTAGGCTTCTAACACTTACTCATCCTATAGTGTCACAGGGGAGCTCTGGTAGCATAGTGGCTAAGACACTTGCCTGCTAACCAGACGGCTGGCGGTCCAAACCCACCAGCCACTCCTTGGAAGGAAGGTTGGGCAATCCTACTTCCCTAGTGATACTGCCTCGGAAACCCAAGGAGGGGTCGCTATGAGTCGGGGCCGACTCGACGGCACATAACAACAACAACAACAACATACTGTCACAGGAGCTCTGGTAGCATAGTGGCTAAGGCACTTGACTGCTACCCAGAAGACTGGCGGTTCAAACCCACCTCCTCGGAAGGAAGGTTGTGGAATCTACTTCCGTAGTGATACCACCTCGGAAACCCAAAGAGTGGTCGCTATGAGTCGGGTCCAACTCGACGCCACATAACAACAACAGTGTCACTATGAGTCATAATCAACTGCATTGCAGGGGAGTTAATGACAATTCATGACCTATGCCTAGAACAACACACTAAGTTAACTGAAATAAAATGTCTGAATGATAAAAGCTGTTAATACAGCAGCCACAAGAGTGACTTTAGCTTTCAGGGCCACAAAGGGAGAGAAAATCTTTTTTGTGTCAATTCTTTATAAGACAAAAATATTCCAAAGAGCCATGTTAAAATAAACCTTCCTTCACAGAAGCTAATTCTTCTTGGTCTTTCTTCTAGTTGGCAACTTGACCAATAATATGTTGTTGTTGCTGTTGTTGCGATGTGCCATCGAGTCGGACCCGATTCATAGCGACCCCTCTTTTGGTTTCCGAGGCAGTATCACTATGGAAGTAGATTGCCTCATCTTCCTTCCCAGGAGTGGCTGGTGGGTTTGAACCGCCAGCCTTCTGGTTAGCAGTCAAGTGCCTTAGGCACTACGCTACCAGAGCTCCTAGTAATATTATAGACCACATCTTTTTGATGCTTTTTATTGCAATGTGGCTATTAACTATAAATCGGTTTATTATAGGGGCATTCCAAAATATAATACGTACCAAGAGCAGCTTCTTCCATAATCCCCTAGGGAAAAAACTGGTTTGTGTTCACTTGTAAGCCACAAAGCATATTTAGGATGTTTTAATTTTTTTAATATTAATTATATTTAATTGCTCCAGTTTCTTGAAGCATAAAAAAATTTAACTTAATCCAATATGCCATTTTTTGGAAGTTTGTAATGGTGCTTCTCTCTTCTCTTATACTTAAAATGTTGTTCGTGACAAATATTAAGATATGAACAAACAGAATTCCTTCCTTTTGATGATATATGTCATATACATATACCAGTTACATATAACTTTCGTCTTATCATAGAAAAAAAGATGTTTATTTTTTGCTTTCTACTTAAAAGTAGTATTTGAGAAATATTTTGAGCCATCACACCCCACAACTCTACAAAGATATTCCTTCATTCGGCAATTATTATTTAACAAGCATCTACTTATGTGCCAGGCATTGTGCTAGGGCCTGAGGATAAAATGTTGAGCCAAATCAGACACAGATCCTGTTCTCATGGAGCCTACACACTAGAGGAAGAGGCAGCTATTGATAAAATAGTCACAGACATAATGACATAGAGCTTTATATTCAGTAGAAATACTCTATCCAAAAAGTTATCGAAGTGAGAGACTCATTATCTGCATGACCTTACCTACTCTTCTCAGAAGGAACTGAGAGGTGTAACGAAGAGCTGGAAGGTCTTCCCACCATTCTACAAGGTTCTGGTGCAGACCACAAGGGGAGTAGAAGGAAAGCATACCACTTGCAGCTGTGACATGACACTGCAGAGGCAGGAAGAGGAAAGTAGTTCACTGTGCTAAGAAATCTTCTTACAGGAGCAAAGGGAAGGAATTTTGACTGCTACAAGTATGAACTGTTAGATGGTAGGGGAAATGTTTTGAGTAAGTTTTCTGAGTGATATGCTATGTAAACCACTTTGCTACCCTCTTGAATCAATCTTATATTGAAAATAAAATTCTCTTTGGGCTCAAGATATTTTTGTTTTTTCAAAATACTTATTCAAATAGAAAGGGGAAAAGGTTTTTTTTTTTTTAAAGAAACAACATTTTACTAATTGTTTCATGATATTTTCTTTCTTAACAGGTGATTTTTTGTGTATTTCTTTAGTAAATGGTTCTGTTCAACTTCGCTACAATCTTGGTGACAGAACTATCATTCTCCAAACTCTGCAAAGAGTAACTATTAATGGAAGTACTTGGCATATGATTAAAGCAGGAAGAGTTGGTGCTGCAGGCTACCTGGATCTGGATGGGATAAATGTAGCAGAAAAAGGCAACACTAAAATGAGTTCCTTGGACACAAATTCCGATTTCTATGTTGGAGGAGTGTCATCCTTAAATCTTGTAAATCCCATGGCAATAACAAATGAACCTGTAGGTTTTCAAGGTTGTATTCGAGAAGTTATTATAAACAATCAAGAATTACAATTAACTGAATTAGGAGCGAAAGGTGGTTCAAATGTAGGTGATTGTGATGGGACAGCCTGTGGATACAATGTGTGCAGAAATAGGGGTGAATGTATAGTAAATGGTCCAACTTTTTCTTGCAAATGTTTGCCACATTGGACTGGAAGTACATGTGAGCAATCTGTGTACTGTTTGGATCATCTTTGTCTCCACCAATCTCTGTGTGTACCTGATGAATCGTTTTCTTACAGTTGTTTGTGTACTTTGGGTTGGATGGGAAGGTATTGTGAATACAAAACTTCATTTTCAACAGCAAAATTTATGGGTAATTCTTATATTAAGTATATTGATCCAAATTACAGAATGAGAAACCTTCAGTTCACGACTGTTTCCTTCAATTTTAGTACTACTGAAACAGAAGGCTTAATTATATGGATGGGAAAAGCTCAAAATGAAGAAGATGATTTTCTGGCAATTGGTCTCCATAACTGTTCCTTGAAAATAGCAGCTAACCTAGGAGAAAGAATCTCGGTGCCTATGTTCTATAACAACCACACATTCTGTTGTAACAAATGGCACCATGTAGTTATAATTCAAAATCAGACTCTTATTAAGGCCTACCTAGATGGCAATTTAATACTGTCTGAGGACATTGATCCATGCAAAAATTTTGTTGCTCTAAACTATGAGGGTGTCAGTTATTTAGGGGGCTTTGAATATGGTCGAAGGGTAAATATTGTCACTCAAGAGATTTTTAAAAGAAATTTTGTTGGCAAAATCAAAGATGTCTTTTTTCAGGATTCCAAAAAAGTTGACTTAATTAAATCAGAAGGATACAATGTTTATAATGGAGATGAACAAAATTAGGTTACAAAAGCTAACATTGCAATTTTTAATATCCAAAATATAGATGTAAGTATAGTTATTTTGATAGTTATTTATTCCCAGTTATTTACTAGGAATCTCCTGTGTACTCCTTCCTGAAATAGCCTAAATGCCAACCTATCTTTTTGACAAACTTCTAAAATGGCTGTTTTCCTTAAATTTATCTGTAAATATGTTAACTCTTAAGTTTTAACACCTGAGTTTACTTAGTGTTTGTTCATCTGTTAATGCTTTAAAAGAAAATTCAAGTGGAGTTGAATTAGTGATACACAAAAAATAATAAAATAATAAATAAGTTATTAATCAGAGGAAAAACAAAAATTGTACAAGAAAAGCTATGTAACAACATTATACTGTATGTGTCAGGTATGAATATTTACATGATTGTAATACTGTAGAAGTTGAATATGAACTTTTAAACCAAAAATCATTGGGTGAATGTGGGAAAGGAAAGGTAGGCTTATGAGTGCTAAATCCTCATCTTTCACAGTAAGACATCAATAGATAGTACAGTATTTTCAACTTTTCATAAAATGGCACATAAATGTTACTTAGAAATACGAGGGCAAATATCCTAAGAAATGTCTAAAAGAATTGAAAGTGGTTTCCTCTGGTGAGAAGACCAGCAAAGAAGACTGTTACTTCTTGTTTATAAATCTTGTAGCTGCTTGAGTTTATAAACCATGTACTTGTATAACTGATTAAATGTTTTAAAAAATTAAATTTCATTTAACTTTTTTCAAGCCTACAGAATGTAAAATGGAGCATAGTAGAAAGAGATTCTAAATAATGCCATTCAATTGTTGTCCTGATAATACCTGTACCTTTAAAAGCATAAACAAGCGAGCATATTTTGCCCAAACCAGTTATTCATATTACCATGAATAGCTTTTATACCCTCCACCCCACCACTGCAGACTGGAAGATAGGCTACTGGTATTTTGTTGTTGTGGTGGTGGTTGTTACTTAGCATTTTCAGAGTTTGATATTTTACCACCATAAGAGCATCTTATAGCAGCACATAACTGACACAAAGCAGTAACAGCTAGATCTATGTTTAAAAAAAAAAAAAAAATCTTGGCAAGAGTGGCATTTGAAAGTATGGAATTATCCATCAAGTAAATGGAGAAAAGGATTTACAAATATAGACTGAGGAATAGTTTAACTACTCAATGCTATTAATAAGCAAAATCGGCATATTGCAGCCTCCAGTCTATAAAAAGAAGGTAGGTAATTTTTTTTTTTTTAATCACTTGAAGAAACTTACATTTGTTTTGGTCTTGTTATTTTAGCCAACCCATTCCAATCAGAATTCTTGGAAGACCCTAGGACCAGAGTTAAGAACATTGGCACTATTTAATGGGACACAAATTGCTTCCATACTGTTCCTATTAACACTAGAAAGTTCATGGGCAGAATATAATGTAAAGCATATGCATGCAGTGAATTGCTTAATATGGCCCTTCTAGTCATTTAAAAAAAAAAAAAAAACTATTGTCATGGAGTCAACTCCAACTCATAGTGACCCCTCCTTGGGTTTCTGAGGCGATATCACTACAGAAGTAGATTGCCCAGTCTTCCCTCCAAGGAGTGGCTTATGGTTTTGAACTGCCAGCCTTCTGGTTAGCAGTCAAATCCCTTAGGCACTACACCACCAGAGCTCCTTCCATTTTATGATGTACTGTAAATCCTAGTCTCTGTGCTTGATTAGGGAGCTCCGGTGGCATAGTGCCTAAGGCATTTGACTGCTAACCAGAAGGCTGTTGGTTCAAACCCACCAGCCACTCCTCGGAAGTAAGGTTGAGCAATCTCCTTCTGCAGTGATACCACCTCGGAAACCCAAGGAGGGGTCGCTATGAGTCGGGTCTGACTTGAAGGCAGTGGGTTTGGTTTGGTTTGATTTGTGCTTGTTTAGGGCGGGATGTATCTTGAGTCCCACTTTGCTGGAGGTTGTGTCTCAAGTCACCACTCTTAGTTTCCTTGAAGGTATACATGTGACTAGAAAGTTCATGTTCTTGCTCCAGATCCTAGGTTTGGTTCATCACCATTCCACTCCTGGACTTAAGACAGCAGCCAGTCATCTGACCCACAACTTTGGGTTCACCAGCCCCTGCAACCATGTGAGTGAGGAGAATTCTCCAGACCTACCCACAGATCTGGAACTTGCCAGCCTCCACCACCATGTGTGCCATTTCCTTAGCAGTTTGTGAGCTCTGTGTGACATCACAGCAAAATACAGAACCCTATGACAGGAGGGGGGAGCTCTGGTAGCATAGTGGCTAAGATACTTGCCTGCTAACCAGACGGCTGGCGGTTCAAACCCACCAGCCACTCCTCGGAAGGAAGGTTGGGCAATCCTACTTCCGTAGTGATACTGCCTCGGAAACCCAAGGAGGGGTCGCTATGAGCCAGGTTTGACTCGACGGCACATAACAACAACAACATGACAGGAGGGAGAGTACTGAGGGGAGGAGGAGAAGTTGATGTTAGATATGATGGAGGGGTACCGCAATTTGGAAAAGTTGCACACTTGGGACATCTTTAATCTCCACTTCATAGGGACCAGCCCTGTGCTGATCCTTCTAAAAGAAATTATTTGAGCAGTTGTCAAAATGGTGGGTTTTGCTGCAACGGCCCAGACTCAAGAAAATATGTGGTTTTGGGGAAAAGGGGATAAGCAGGAGAATGAGAAAGCTTTGGTTTCCGGATAAGATAACAACAACAACAAACAAAAAAACACCCAGAGACTGAAGCAGCTGTAATGTGATCAGTTACCTAAGGCAAAAGCTATTCATGAGATTTAGGAGTGGTGGATCTAACTCCTGAGGAACTGGCTAGTTGCATGCATATGGAAATACAGAGTGACAAGGAAAAGGCAAGACTTACAATTTCTTGGTTGCTGTTATCAGTAAAAGCTGCAATGGCAGGGGAAAATGTGTGTGTGTTTTGGGGGGAGGGGAGGATGTAGCACTGAACCAAGCCCAGATTCAATCCAATCAGACTATGACCATTAGTGTTTTCTTACCCAGTGTTTTCTTAGACAGGAAATACTGTGTTGAAACAACAGGCAGGACACCTATGATAGCTGGTCACCAAGAAGGTAGTCTGGGAAGGGAACCAGGAATCTATTGAAACCAAGGAGTATAGTGTAAAAGAACTGCTTCAGTTTGTAGACTAGTATTGTCAACTTCCTGAGGAACCTTTACTAAAATGGATTATGAGAGCAACTAATTTAGGGGCAATGTTTTTAGTTTTGAATGCTACAGAATGGAAGAGTTATCTCTGGGTTAATGCAAGACACACAACTCACTATGGAACAGGCATGAATGATGATTCAAGCTCCATTTCCACAGCAGGTTAATCCAGGGAGGACAGCCAGCCTGCTGGACAGGATAAAATTAGCAGTCAGGTTTGTTTCCCTGAGAAGGGAAACTGCCCCTCTCCCCCTCTAAATATCCTCTGGTACACTCCAGAGGAAGCAGTTAATGTGCTGCTTATGCAAGTCATACTCGAATGGCTTTGTGGAGATCAGGAGATTCACCCAAAGAGTATGTCCCTTACGCAGGTCATGACAGATAGGGTAATCAAAGGAACTCCTTCTACATGGGCACTCCACATAACCATGCTACTGCAAAACAAAGCAACAGCTTGAGAAGCCATGTCAGATCTGTTGGTACAGTTTCCACGCATGGGTCTTACAGATGCAAGAAACATAAGAGTGATTAATAGGAGAATGGGAAGGGGCAATGGGGAAAGAATTTACCTCAGCAGGTTGGAGATTTTTCAGTGGTTACAAGGAATGGGATGAATATAGTGGACATTGATGGAGTTGAGACAAAGGAAAAATGTGGTGATGCAGCACTACAGGAGGTTAGGTGGATCAGTGGAAACTCCTGCTGGTACCCCAACATCAAAGAGCCTAAACAAGTTCATTCTGCTACTCCAATCAGGAGGAATTTAATGATGGGAAGTCTCATCTGGGACTAGTTGAAGCAGAAGCTCAGCTAGTTGATGAAGTCAGGGACTCATGAGGGCAGTCAAGGTCTCCTAGTCCAGGCCTCAGTAGGGGACTTGAGGTCGTATGCACATGTGTGCGTAAAATGGCCCAGGGGTGAGGAAGAGAGCTTCTTGGGGCCCCAGGATACATGAGCTCAATATACTGTCATCCTAAACCTGTCAATGAAATCCTGAAGGGGCCTAAGGTTAGATTTTTGAGATATGAGGATGCAACTACTGATGGGACTAAGATAAAAGTTTGGATGAGAATTGGAAGATTTAAACAGATACTGTATGAAGTAGTTGAATCTCCATTACCTGAATGTATTATTGGTATGGGGAGCTCTGGTAGCATAGTGGCTAAGACACTTGCCTGCTAACCAGACGGCTGGCGGTTCAAACCCACCAGCCACTCCTCGGAAGGAAGGTTGGACAATCCTACTTCTGTAGTGATAATGCCTCGGAAACCCAAGGAGGGGTCGCTATGAGTTGGGTTTGACTCAACAGCACATAACAACAACAACAACAACAATTATTGGTATGGATATTATGTCTAATTGGGGAACACTCTCTCTACCTGATATTGTAAAATTGAAAAAGTGTAAATATGCCCTTAGACCAGAATTGATTGGACATGCTAAATGTGAACCATTAGAAATGCCCGGATCCATTCAGATTGTTAACTTGAAACAGTATAGGTTAACCAGTGGACAAAAGGAGATTACTGCTTTGATTAAAGCTAAAGGCTGGAGTATTGGTGCCAACAAATTCTCTGTAAAACAGCCCTTTTTGGCCTTTAAAAAAGGCAGATGGCTCATGGAGGCTGACAGTAGGCTATTAAGGCCTAAGTAAAGTAGTGCCACCAGTGGCTTCAGCTGTTCCAGACATGGTATCAGTGGTGTAGGAAATACAGAAGACTAAAAGAACACTGATACTCAGTGATTGATCTTGCAAATGCATTTTTCTTCATCCCAGTCTTGGAGAAG